AAGGTTACCTAGTAAAGTAACCGTTGGGTAATGCTAACTATCCAACGCTTATTTTTCGTTTTATGTGTAATTTAGCGAGCGATCATGAGACAATACTATTTGGCACTAATGAATGTAGATTCTTTCTGCTATATGTGCGAATGCATCTCACATATTGAAAAGATCTAATCAAAAGGGAAAATTCTTAACTAGCAGAACATCAAGCACATCGATTTGATTATAAAGTATAAGTTACTATCCATTTCGCTAGATCACTACAGCGCTCAACAAAAGAAAGTATCTTCCTTGAACAAGCATAAAAATAGATAATGGCGGGCTAACGTTTTAGGAATGTGTGAGTCAGGGCTAAATCTAATTGCCGGCACTTGTCTGGTCTCGATTGGTTGTTCCTAATGCAGTTATACAGCGAAAATCTTGTTCATCTTGTAGTTTCTATGTCAGACTCAGGATGACATTGGATGAAATTAATTTTTTTGTCTAATGAGTTAACAAAATCTGCCCTATCCTATCCCGTGGGCTGCGTAAAATCGTGACAAAATTCTATGAAGCTTCAAATGATCTTATCAGAATGAGAGTTCTTAAATTAGAGTGTCATTCGATGTGTTCAATGAGAATTTGAAATAGAGTGTACTAGTAAACTATGCTTTTCAGAACACCTTGTATCCATATAATTACTCTTTTCGTGTAGATCAAGTAACTTCAAAATAAAAACATATTCATTAAAATTTTGAAATCTATGCAAAAAGCATAAAAAATGATATTTTTGATGATGCAGTGGACATAAAATTGATGCTTTTTCAAATTCATTGATTAAAATTGACATATTGATTAAAAAATGCAGTGAATTTGTTTAAAAATTAAATTCAATTTATGATTTTCAATTAAAATACTGGTATTCATCAACAAGAAATGAGGGCATGGGTGTGGGTATTGCAATTAATACCCACATCCACAGTAGAGGAAATCAAACAATCACGAGTATTAATTCGTGAGAAAACTGCAGCTTGGCGAATTACTTTTCCAGTGTAAGAAATCGGACAACAGCAAGCACTTGCTCTTGGGAGGAGTATGACTAAACGAGCTACTATATCACCAAAAGAAGCTGTAGAACTGCGCGTATTAGCTCGCAGGAGAAGTACTGCAATACGCGCTGCTTATGCACCGGAAGAAAGTCGAGCAACAGCAAGCAGTGGCTCGTAAGAGAAAACATCTTCAGAAAAATGTGTAAGTACAAACGGTTACTGATAGAAACAAAAATCCTAAAAGTAGCGACACCGAATAACCAGAATCTATTGAAATGGAATGCACGATTAACTGCTCAAAAAATTTCAGTCGACATATGTCAATGAGTTCTCTAGCAGAGAATGTTTGTGACATTTGTAATGTTCGTTGCTATAAGAGTAACCTCTGACACAAACCATTGTGTGAAATTCCATCGATTGAATTGATTAGAGTACATAATGATCTTTATGACATAATTTCTATTATGCAACGAATGAGCAAGTTCCATTCAAAAGATAAGTTTAACAAGAATGACGATCTTGGTTTAGCTTTCGATCGAGACGAAAGGGAAGCAGCTGAATCATTGTAATGCTTAAACTAGCAAGATTAATCAGATTTTTTTTATTATAGATAGGAATATAAAATCATCAATGGATGATCAATCATTTACTTGGGTAAACAGTATATTTCTCTATAAAACAGGACGTCATAAAACTTTTGATAAAAAGAGACAATCTTCGGTATACTGCGACATTGGTACAAAATGTTGGTAGTCCGTAGTGAAAGCAAAAATACACAAGTTTTCAGCTGCTAATAAAATATGAATGGGAGATGTGACAAAACAATTACAAGGATTAACCATTCCCGAACAAAGACTTATTGCTCTCTACCAACACAACAGCTGCATTGTGAAATTATATTCGTCTTTTCATTCGACAAGCACAGCTCAATCAATTTTAAAACGCAACAGCATCAGCTTTCCTCAAGATGTTATTAACATAGCTACTACTCTGCCATTAGAATTCGATGATCTATGTGGTTCTCTAAAAATTATTTTTGTTCGTTGTCGCACTCCACAAAGAAGTCAACTAAAAAATATTTTGACTGTTCGAAAAACAAAGGTTTCTGATGCACTTAAATGACTTATTCCAAACAATCTATTCCATCAATATGTTACAATTAATCAATCAACAATCAATAAACTACTTGAGAATGATATCCTGGAGTGTTCCTGGGCAACAATGGAAATTTCCGCTAAGGTAGAAGCGGTTGAAAACGAAGGACAACTTATAGTTTTAACCCTCTGATCAATACATCTCAGTTCAACACTACAACAGCTATACTAATAATTGCGAGGTAAAGCAAAAAGGAATTGATATTTGTATCTAATATTGTTTGTGTTGTAGTGCTATCTTGCATGTTAACGGTACCAAAATTTCGTCTGATGACGTTGTTGAACATCTTTTAGAATGCATAAAGGTACAAATGGGTGATAAAACGCTGAAAAAAGACATCAAGGAAAATGATGAACAAGATACTGTGTACATAATTCCTCCTAGTAACAAACCGGCCAATGAATATTCTAATCCAAATCTTTGATTCAGTATCTTTCCTACATTTTTTCCGTATGGATGTGATACACTTGAAGATTACTCTCGACCAGTCCAAATTAATTTTTGTGAACATCTCAGATATCTTCTTTCGTACGTAGATCATCGCTTTGAAGAACACTACTCATTCACATTTGTTGTCGTCAATATTTTACAACGCCGAATCGCGTGCTTCCATGCCCAATTAATAACATCAAGGCTGTACTTTCAGCAATCTGCACAACTTCTTGAATTATTGAGTTCTGAAGATGTAACAACGGCCCTTGTCAACATCTCAAAAGCGTCTTATTCCAAAGTTACTAATGAAAGAATAAATACGCTCATGAAGCATATCAAAGTGGTTGGTGGTCATGTTATGGATTCAGTTCATTCACGATCGCCTCTTCGTACGAAAATTTATTCTTTGTGTTTTAATCTCGGTCTTCCAACTCTCTTCCTACCAATCAATCCAGCCGACATACATAGTCCAGTGGCATTTTATTTTGCAGGTGTAGATCTAAATCTTGACAAAGTTCTGCCAGAAGTGTTGGGCACAAGTTATGAACATGCTCAAATTATCGCAACACATCCTACTGCTACTGCAAAATTCTTTAACTGTTTAATAAAAAGCATCTTGAAAAGTCTTGTGCTCGGTAGTGTACTTGGTCCTACAAAAGCATATTTCGGCACTGTCGAGAATCAAGGCAGAGACTCGCTTCACTTTACACCTTCAAATTTGGCTCAATCATGAGTTTACTTCAGCACAATTAAAAGAAAAGGTTCAACACGAAGATTTTCGTGAAAATTTACTAAAATATTTAGAAGATGTTGTAAAAGAAGATTTAGATCAATTTCGAGGTAATACATTTAGTACCGTTCGAATTTGTGATTTGAAATATTCGCATTTACCTATTTGACGAAATTTCATACCCTGAGAATACGTTATCGTTGCTTTAGCCTAGAGTTGCGCTTTCAACTAATTCTCGATAATCCAAAATGCGTTTAATTCGAATTGCAGGTTCTTAGTAACCATAATAACTGCATTAGATCATTTGTACTTTTAAATTTGATCATTCTTTTTAAAGATGAAAGTGACGATCGAACCAGTACAGCAAGCGATAACAGTGCATTAATTCGTGAGTTTGTAGCTTTTAGTATATCCTTACTTTTGCTTTTGCCTTGATTTTAGAAGAAACTGGGCCGATAACGAATGAAGTTGTACCGACCTGCCTACCAATGTCAAATCCTGTGTTAGATGACTTCCATCGTATTTTTCGCAAAGATATAGTGCGATTAGTCGAAACATGCAATATTCACGAGCATTCTGCAATGTGTTACAAATACTCGAAAGGCAAGTCCAATGGTTCAAAAGCTTGTCGAATGCGTATGCCACGTGTACTCGTGAAGACTTCCAACATCGATCTTTCTACAGGTCAGATAACTATGCATCGATCACATCCGTGAATCGACAACTTCAATGAATGGCTCTTAAATGCTTGCCGATCCAAAATGGATATTAAATTCATCTAGAATGGTAAAGACGCTAAAGCTTTAGGGTACTATATAACTGATTATGCAACAGAGTCGACTCTAGCTTTCTATGATATGTTTGCCATTACGCAGCAAGGAGTCAAATCTATTGAGCAGCAGCAAGTTGATAGTAAAAAGTTTTAAAAATGATCGCATAGATATTTAATACGCAATTTCTCTAGGGATCCTAACGTTCTTCTATGATGAACAAGGGGAAGATACAAAAGAAACTGAAGAACAGTTTCTATTAGAGCCAACAAAAATCAAAAGCGGTGACGGGTATGTCATGATAAACACTCATCTGGACTATTAGCATTGATCAAAAGATCTAAGTACATTATGCTTATATGATTTTATCAGTCATTTTCACAAGAAGGTTATTGACAAATCAGACCGCTGTTTACTAAAGAATGAAAATGGGCATGAAGGTGAACGCTTATATACCGAAAGAACAAAAATAAATGAACGACACACATTTGAAAGTGTGCATCCACAATCATCATTAAACGTACCACTCCAGTGGTACCAGTTCTGCTTGGTCCTCCAATACCCTATCGCGAACGAGAAGAAACACACGATCGTTATTGTCGTGTATTGTTAACTTTATTCGTGCCATGGAGATCAGTCCACGATCTTTGTGCACTAAATCAGACATGGTCTGAGGCACTGGAAGTTCAAAAACCATTGATCTCTTTTAGTTCACTCAAAATTATAGAAAATATACAACTTTTGCATGAATATACGCACAATCGAGATGAGTACCTTCATCAAGTTCTTTTAGAAGCACAAAATGACAGCAGCATTGATCCTATTCTGATTCTTAACTCCTATGAAGAAGGTCAAAACACTGAAGAAGACGATCCTGAACAGCTTTTGCAAATGCTTTCCATTGTAAATGAGATCTTCACAAATACTTACTCGGCATTGACAGTTACTCACGAGCAACGCTATGTTCATGATGCATTACAAGCAATTGATAATACAGATAGATTTGCATTACTCAGTGGTGAGTTAATTACTGCCATATTCCGAAAATATTTTGTTTGATTTAGGCCGTACACGTACTCTGGGTGAAAATAATTATGGTGCCATACACGACGTCCACACATTTGTCGTAGCTCGCGAGCATCATACGATCATGATTAAAGAATGGAAACGTGATATTGACGCCCGACGAGATGAAACAAGAAACTATTTAATTTTAGGCGAAGATACTCTGGAAGTACGAGATGATGAAACACAGATTGAAATCGTAGGTAATGAAATTCCAACAAGCCCAATTAAAACGAAAGTTGCAACAGTCCCGGCTGTGACTGCAACCAATGCGATTTTATGTCCCATAAAACAGGATAGCGTCAAACGATTTACGTTAAATATAGAGCAAAAATATGCTTTTATGATTGTTACTAGTCACTTAGATGGTGGACATTATGCTTATATCGGTATGTCATCTTGATTTTGTTGTTGTAAGGTTTAGTTAGTCTTAATATTTAGGTACTATCGATAATCAGTTATTGATGTGTATACCTGACTGTGGTGGCACTGGAAAATCTCAATTGATTCGTGCAATCACCAAGTATTTCCAACAAACAAAACGGGACAAGATGTTGCGTAAACTGGCACCAACGTCTATAGCAGCAGCTGAGATTGACGGATTAACTATCCGTTCATTTTTAGGTGAAAGTCGCAAAAACACTAAAAAGAAACAAACCCGTACATTTAGACCTGGTGATATGAAATTAGAAAATGAATGGCGTCACGTGAAGTACTTGATAATCGATGAGATGAGCATGTTAAGACTTTAGTCTCTTAGCTCATCCAAATCGAATAGTCAAAACAGCGAAGCACGTAAATTCTGAGATACCTTTTGGTGGTGTCAATGTCATTTTCTTCGGCGACTACCTCCGATATTTTCCTGCTTTGGACAAGCCTCTCTACTGTAGCTGCGCACCGACACAGCAAGTTACAGAACGTCAGATAGATATGTTGTGTGCACAGAAGCTTATTTCTGAAATAAACTGCGTTGTTGAATTAACTCAGCAAATGCAATCCGAAGACATTAGATATTTGGAGCTTTTAAATAGATTAAGACATGGACAATCGACAATAGAAGATTACCAACTTCTGTGTACGAGAGTCATAGGAAATCCAAAACTTCAAGTGTCTCTACAACAAAAGCCATGGAACGAAGTATGCACATTCATTTTCTCTATGTATCACATTACTTTTCTTTTAATAAGCTTCAATACTGGTTTTTCGGAATCCACTACGCACTCGGATTAACAATAGGGCTGTCTTAAACAAAACAATTAAAATGGGACTGACTCCAATTGTTTGTATTGCTCAAAATTATATTCAAGGAAAACCTGTGGATGATCTACGATTACGTAAAGCCATACTTGAACTACCTGACAATAAAACCGAACATCTTCCAGGGTATTAAACTCTCGTACCAGGAATGCCAGTTTTACTCACAGAAAACATCGCTACTGAGCTCGGACTCTCTAACGGTACACGAGGAATCTTCCGTCAACTTGTATACGATGAATCACCAGAAAATTTTCGATACCACGGTCAGAATTTTCCACCAAATACCAAGTTTATAACGCAACCAAAGTACGCTTTAGTAGAATATCCTGGTTGCAAACTTGAGGAAAAACTTGCTGAACTGTCTTCCAAAATAGTCCCTATAGCTGTTAGTGAACAAACATTCATGTTTGACGCCAAAGAACTTCTCCCAGAAAATGTAGCAAAAGCTGCCAAAATAAACAAGAAAACAACAAAACTCACGATCAAACGTACAGCACTTCCGCTTATACCGGCATATAGCATGACAACACATAAAGGCCAAAGTCAAACACTCGGTAAAATTATCGTCGATCTGGTCATGCCGCCTGGCCCACTCGAACTAGCCTCTGTTTACGTTCCATTCTCTCGTGTAAAGAGACTTGATGATTTACTAATCATACGCCCATTTGAATTTGCAACACTTCAAGTTAAACCGTCAACGGCTCAAATAGAAGAACTTAAAAGACTAGATAGAATAGTACAAAATACTCGGAAACGTTTTCAATTCATCGCTTAAAACAACAACATCTTAAGAGTGCCTTGATGTTCAGAAAAACCATCTAACTCAAAAAACTATATTGCATACCCCAAATCTGTTCTTTTTACAATTATAGTCTATTGATCATTTGTACAGCTCGCACAAAACTAATTATATTTCGAATAAAAGCCATTAAGATAAAAAATAATGAAAAGAATTTGAACTATGTAAACGAACTGTATTGATAGAAAGTCACTGTCGTTCGTGCATTCAATCGTCATCCCAAACAGCATTTCACAGCTACCCACCACAACAGAAACTACATATGACACACATCGTAAAAGAAAAGTTTCTTAAGTAACTATTTCAGAGAAGATCAGCAATGTCAACCAAATTCTCTTACCAACATCTTCGCTAACAACACTTGCAAGTGCACCTTCATGTGACCTCATCGTAACAAACCGACAAACTACGTCGAGAACCAGAGGCAACCGAACGACCTTCATTTCATTAAACCAACGTCCATAAACAACTAGTACAGTAGCATCAGCTCCCACATACCACTAAAACTTACAGAAAATCCCAAGAATACTGCTCCAATAGATTTTCCAACCATACTCAAAATTTCAACTTTCATTTTGAAACATACAGAGTGCCTATGCGTGCAGGATCCAGTGTAGTTGTCAATGTGGGTGTGCATAAGAATACATTTCATTTAATTCCAAATC